AGAATAAAGCAAGTATTTTAATATATTTAATAATTTATAAAAATTTACTAATTTAGATAAATCGTCACTTTGAATACTTCTAATTACTAAACTAAAAGCTTTATAAATCAAAACACTTGAACCAACTCAATCAAATTTTGTGATTTTGTATTGTGGAATATGATTTATAAACGCTATACTTTGTAGCATTTATTGTTTAATACAGCCTACTCACTAAATGCAACCCCTAAATGCACGCTCTATGAAATACCTCCCTAAATGCATTACTTCTCTAAATGCACATTTGACTAAGTTTTTACGTGTGGCCCCGTCGCAATGCATTAAGGGAAGTCTTCTGGCAGATATTCGTACCCATATGAATGCCGTGTATCATTCAGATGCCTCAAAACTTTTGGAAACACATCAACATGAGAATTTGTACCCCACCAAACATCTAAATGGCCATAATTAGGAATAATATGTATAGTATAATTATCAACATCATTAATGGAAATAAGTGTTTCATATGACTGTCTGATTGACTCAACGTCAAACCTTTGTAAAATAGAGGGAAAATGTAAAATTATAATAAAAATTGAAAACCAAAAAAAAATTGTTAACGAAAAGCAAAAATTAAAAAAAATTGATAACTTACACGGCATTCTTATTCCCATAAATCAGACAAATAGGAAAATTTAATTTATTTTTAACATTTTTTTCAGTAACGTAAATATCATCCCATTATCGTCTACTAGTCTTCCAATTTTTGCTGCAGTAGCTAACTGTTGCAATGTTGCTAAATTGATTGGTCCCATAAATTCATTAAGATTATCGTGTAATGTTTGAGTCAAATTTTCATGTGCGTAGAGCGTTCCAAAAGCCAGAGAGTTTCGATGACATAATGCGTTTCGACATTTTTCACCTGATGGGACAGGATAGAATCTCAAAACTTGATTGATAGTCCAATTCAAATAATTTGTATTTGGAAAGGTCCGGACATCAAAATATGATTGGCGTAAGACATGTTGAAAAATGGAAACCAGTTTAATTTTATTTTTAATACGATTCAAGTAACTAAAAATCGGGTGCATTGCCTGATGAATGAGGCGTGATTAATGAATGTTATATGAAAGAAAATAGATTTAACTCAATATTATAAGAATAATTTTTATATTAAATTCGGAATGTTTAAGAAATTCCGAATGATTCCCAAACTTTTCGTGGAATTCCAAGTTTAATATAAGAATTTTCTTGTAGGGATAATTAAAATTTTAAACTTTACCACTTGAGATGCAACAAGCGAGCCAACACCCTCAATCTTTCCACTTAGCAATCCCATAAATGTTAAAGGGGATCCGAGGCAATGCGAAACTATTGCAATCTTTCTACAACCAGTTATTTCACGAACTTTATTTACAGCTGCTTTGATATCTAAAACACATTTATCCATAGTGTGCTGCTTACAACTTTCTTTATTTGTTGTTGCAAGGCGATAATCAACTGAGAACACATCATATCTGTTTTCTATGAGATAATCTAAAAAGTTATTTTTGATTAAATTCGTAGCAAACATATCATGCGTTACTGAGGCACCGTGGAACTAATTTTAGTATCGTATAAGAATGACTTGGACATATATAAATGTATAGCACTTAATTTAGTTAAAAACAAGATTTACCAAAAGTACAGGTCCCTTTTTTCCGCCATTATACCTATACAACTTGGTTTTCACGCGATCATCGGCCTCAATGTCAAATGTTTCCTTCTTTGGACTATGCTTGTTATAGTCAGGAATATCTCCATCCGACTTGTATTGCAAAGGAAGAAAACTGGTAAAAGTATGTTCCACCATAGTGGCAGCGAAGAATCTGACGAATCTGAGAAAAGTTTCAACTTTTTGCATTGATGATGTACCGATTACCTTGAAATTTCATAATGAACGATTAATGCACCGCATATAACACACTTATTAAGAATTTTTTATTTACCTTAAAGGTAGTTAATTGCTTAGCAAGTTCAACTGGTTTTATTACTAAAATTCCTCTACCAATGACTTTTCGTTCATCCTCTTCTTTTTCCTCAACTTTATCATCGAAATTTTTTAAATCTTCTTGTTTATCAGTATTATAGACAGTAACATACAATGTAATAACTTTTTCTAACGCATTTAACATATTACTATTGTCCAATATTTTATATCCCTTGAACCGGTATTTGGTTCATCTGTAGCCACTAAGATAAAGTTATACATCATAATCTTAGCATCAACCCGATCGCTTTTTTTAGCAAATAAACGGAATTTCCCGTCAACGATGAGTAAAGGATCAGGAGACAATGCGCGGCATGACACAGTACCAACAATTTTTGCGTCATTATTACTAAACTCCACAAGTGTATTTACATCAAACGCAAATATGCTGATTAAAAATTGCATAGTTGAATTGGATGTTTTAGCTTGAGCTATGTATAATAAATAATTAATACTTTAATTATCATCTATTCTGTAATATTACTATTTTTACAAAAAAATTAACTTACATTCTGCAGCCCGGTAATCTCCTGTAATGACTTCTGTAGAGAAATATCCTTTCATAACTTCAGTAAAAGCAATAACACCATTTGGTGGTGGCCACATAAACTTTTTCCTTTCGTCAGGCCAAACAGTAATACGTGGTCTTTCAAAGTTTATTTGATCGTTTACAAGCTCATAATTAATGTCCCAATTTTGATCTTTTGCAGCTAAATCACAGATCCTTTCGGCCATGGCACTTATTGTTAAGAAAGGGTTAACGCCAAGGGCCTTCGGTATAATTGACCCGTCGCATATGTATAGCTCTTCGTGAACTTCTTTACCATCATTTTTATAGACCTGGTTAAAAAATTATTCAAAAATACTATTATCACTTAATTTGTATGATGAAATGTATATTCTGTAATCACATTTGGAATGAGGACATGCCTGACCCTTGTGGTTTACTACGCCTTCATAACCATTCTTTCCCATGTTACATCCACCAATTGGATGTAAGGTGAATAAAGAATTCTTTAGGGACTTAGTCCATAATGGCGATGGAATATAAGTGCCATTTATATTGGCTGTGACTGTTGCTAACGTTTCGTTCAATCTTCGCACGGTCGGAGTAAGTCCAGCACCTTCGTACTTGATACTAAGTTTATCATTTTGCAATTCTAAATAGCCTGTGTTGTTGTCATGCGACATGATCAAATAGGTTTGAGTATATGCCATAGAACCAGCATAATTGGAAATTGTCGAAATGGTATTTCTCCAAGTTTTAATTAGTTTTTTGCTCAACGAAAGTGACTCGGCTCTCGTGCTCAAAGTTTGAAATAAAGCATTGATTGCTGTGGCCCCTGCAGCGGGGATTACACCTTCTTCAATAACATAGTTCTTCATAATTGATTCATTTGATTCACGCATGTCAATGATACCCGTGATGCAAGGACCAACAGGTGCTCCAAAATCTGAAGGGTTGGTGCTGCCCATTGCGACTCCTTAAAATAATAATAATGTAATAGATAGAGATATGTATAGTGTTAACATTAACATTCAAAAGGAGGGTTTACTGTTGCGTATTGCATACATACCATTACAATACAAATCAGTATTATAGCCAAATCCCAAGATCTACATAAACATAGAAATATATTTCCATATCATTATGATGTTTCAATGTGAATACATAAATTAATTTAACACTCACATCCCCATTTCCGCTAAAACCTCGTCCTAATTCCGAACTAATTTCAAGTCCATTCGCTTTTGATCTGAGCAAAA